ATACATACATTACATACATACAGACTTTCTGCTTCATATATGTATATAGGATATAGGAGATTGACAATTATACAACATTATAAGCCAATGACTTCTCGGGCTTTCTTTCAATTTAATAATTCTTAGGAGGAAAATCCACTATGACAGCCATTGGTGCACCAGCAGGAGCATCAACGATGACAGCTATCGGTGCACCAGCCGGAGCATCAACAATGACAGCTATCGGAGCACCAGCAGGTTAACCTTGCTTCTTCACCTACGTTTAAGGTTTTTGAATTTAGCGCTTATACAAAGTCTCTTGCCTGAATTTTAGGAGGGAAGTCGACAATGACAGCTATAGGAGCACCAGCAGGCGCATCAACTATGACAGCTATAGGAGCACCAGCGGGAGGAGCTGCTTCAACGATGACCGCTATCGGTGCACCAGCAGGTTGCTACAATCATAATAGCCATATATATTAGGAAAGAGACCGTTGAGGCATAACCTGCGAACTGACCCTTTGGGAAATAAGTTACATAAATAGGGCAGAATCAGCTGTGAAAGTCACCTTGGCTTTTGCTAAAATTCAATTTGAAGGTTCCTTTAATATTTGTGGATGAAAGAATTCATAAAGTCGCATATATCCCGTATTACATGAGGTCTGCTGTTTGAGTTCACAATACTATATCCAAAGCTTGGTGTTCCTCTAATTTAAGATTTCATCTATTCTGATCTTGTCCATCTATCCCATTCTTGGTCTTCCTCCCGTCTTTTACTTAGCGCTTCCATTGACAAAACCAATATTGTTATGCGGTTTTATTCTTCATACTAGTGCAAACGCTCTCCTGTATTATACTAATTTATTGATGCAGACGAACCATCAGTGAGACCTAAGGTGCACCGCAGTCTCCTAGTCTTCATAAAACCGAGCTTGCTCCCTTCTTAACGTATGCTCGGCCAACATTTACTGCCATCCAGAGCTGTCGGCAGATCACAGTAGGTACATCTATGAATTGAGAGGCAACAATATTCGTTTCTCATAAAGAAATTAGCATACCTTCATTATGGCCGAGAGCTTGCGGATATGCAGCTTCCCAGGGAACTGAAAGTCCTTCTCTTGATTGGCCCCCCAGATGCATATGGTCCCACGACGACATTCCACCTTCACATATTCAGCCTTCTTCGTGTTGAGTCCCAAGCCAGGCATTTTCAGTTGATTCCTCAATTTCTGCACACTTCCTTTTACTCCCTATCAAGACCACATCAGCATAAAGGTCCATGGTGTTGTCGTTCAAAGTTACTGCATCCATCACTGTGATGAAGAGCAAGAAGGAGTAGAGAAGTTTGAACCATGTTGATGC